TTTAATGATTCTCTTTAAATAAAAATTTATGCCTGTGTATTATAATTATTAGAAAAAAATTCACAAGCTAGTCTAGTCGGCGACAAGTGGACTGGAGAAAAAGAGAATCATCAGCATTAATTGTTTTGTAGCTTTGTTAAATGCAATGACAAGATCATTACTGCTATCGATGGCGAATGCAGTGGGTGCTCGGATCGTTGTGTTCAATGCAACAACGGATATTATCGTAGCCGAGACATGGCTGAAGCGTGCCCTGGGGAATATGGGTGAGCCAATAAAGTTGGAGAGCGAATTGTTGCGCGTTGGCTATCGACCGGATCCGGGACTTCCTTGGTTCGGCAATTCCGAAGGGCCAACGTCCAGTCTGAGGTTCTCATATTAGATTGCTACAATCCCAAATAAAAATCATCCGACTCGTTTTGCTCAACGTATTTGGGTGTTTAGATCGCCGAAATTCATTCAGTCAGCACCAGCTGACTCCTACCTGGGCTGGTGGACATTGCCATACATCTCCTGCAAGACCAGGCAGTGGCTCATTTCATACAGCGTTTATGTACGACCTTCTGACATGCGACATGGGTGAGTATCACTTTTCAAGTTATTTCACATTCCTCAATTATCCTTTCATCGATCTTTCACTGAGTCAAGCTCATTTTAATTATGATTTTAATTAATGATTCAATAACATTTCAGCTGATTGGACTTGTGATTATTCATTAAAAAATCAGAATTATTCAGAGAATTATAACGAAATTAATTCGAATTAAATTATTACATTTGGAACTTGATCTAGATATTTTGTTTATTAAATTATTTATGTTATTATTTTTATGAATAATAACGGTAATTTGTCAACTTGTCTACTTGTGCGTTTGGCTCGTGAAAAATCAGTCACTAATTTATTACCAATCGACAATCAACCGGCAATTGATCAATCTAATCACCAATGAGGATAAGTTCGCGTAATTATTATATAGATAATAATTATGCTGCACTTAATTTGAATTTCGACTAATTAATAAAAATAAATTAATAAAAACCAATAAAATGAATAATTTTATACTTTTTTCTACTAAAATAATGATGCCAGGGATCGACAGTGATATTATTATCTGAGAATATTATTAAAATAATCTGTACAATGGTTTTTTGATTTTGCTCCAATTCGGAGAGACAGGTTGATAAGCAAGTTAGTAATATCAAACTGTTTGAGTGGTTTTAAATGTATCCAAGTGAAGAAATTGTGAAGACAATATTGCCAGTAAATCGGCAATGTGCGTTTTCTCAATCTCTGGATTTTATCCTGACTCATATCGTGACCCTAAATTTCGGACTCCCATTCTACCGCTTATCCTGTTCATGAATTTATGACCTAATCTGTTCCGATCTTTATCCTAGTCTTTTCCTTCCAACGACACTAGGAGAAATGATTGTAAATAAAAAAAATCGTTTACAGATGCATCACACGTTCACAGTATTATACCCATAAATAAAAATAGTAATAACAAATTCGCATATGAGATAGGATTCCATTTGAACCCCAAAATAGCACGTAGAAAATGTAAATGTATTACATTCGATATCTCCTACTCGTAAATGTGAGAGATAATCAAGTGAAAGCTTTTATATTTCTTTCATTGTCTCTTCGCCTTTTGCGTTATAGTATTCGAGATTTTTTGAGCATCGACATCGATATTAGTGGGCTTGAAGTAAATCAGTGTGATGACGACATACTGGAAAAGTATTTAGATGAGAAACGGATGGATAATCACATCGAGACTTTTAGAGGATCTCACAAGTGTCACGATACCACGCAAGTAAACATGACAGAACTCAATAAAATCTTCATCTCATTTAATTTTAATTATTTTTTAAATCTATCTCGCGTTGTGGGAAGGGAACTGTCACTTCTCACACGTCGTGATGAAAAATCGCGGATGAAAATAGTGGAAAAGTTTTTTCTTTAAAGAAAATTGAGAGTAAAATTGACGTTTCCTAAGTGCAAATGTTCCGCGAAATTCAATTACATAATTTTCGCGTCTTAAATATTCACGGATCATATGACGAATTAATTATTACTGATTGATAGCTGCATACAACGCAATTTATTTGTTCTCAAAAGTTCTTATCTTTCAATTTCTGTTTCAATTTTCTGTTCACGGAAATTTTGGTTTTATCTATTTTTGGTTTTATCTATTTTTGGTTTTATCTATTTTTGATTTTATCTATTTGAAAAATTCTAAACCGAATATTGTGGATTGAATATACGAGATATTTCCACCGATTACCCTT